TCCAGTAGGAAAAGAAAGGGAAAATAAGAAATGCATCTCGAAACATCCATTTTCCTCTTATGTTATTACTTCCAGCATAAGGTTTGGTTTCAGGGAAAGAGGCTGAATTACAGGCCAAAATAGCAGTTTTGAGTTTTGTGAGAGTTTAATTTACCTACTTTTTAGGTAGTCTCGTTTCCTGCTCTTGCAATGGATAAGTAGTGGCCATCCACTTGAAATGCCCTAATTTAAAAGCAGTGTTTTTAACCAACATTGTATGAAAAAAGGATATTTCTAAATGATTCATTTTGAATCATGTTTCTTTTCCTACTTTTTAGGAAAACCAAGAAGATTCAGTTTAAGGAAACTCATTAAGATCCTATGGAGAAAGAACCCAAGTATGAAGTAGGTCAAACTGTCTCCCTGGTCATGCCCTTCAGGCACTGCTGACTGGTTTCTAGCTCAGCGGAGGTAGACGGGGTGTGGATGGATTCCTCCACTGCAGAGCTCCTCAGTTTGGGCTCAAACCCAAGGAGAAGGTGTCTGTGTGGAGCCTATAACCAGGAGTCTCAGATGTCCTGTAAAATGCCCTCAGTTTCTTCAGATTGGGATTTTTCCTCATGAAAAGCTTGATATCCCAGACACCTGACACTGGTTGGAAAGGAGAGTCATAAAGGCAATCGCAGGAAGTGAGAGTCTCTAAGTCTCTGGAGGTGGTAACAACCCAAAATATCACACAAAGGTGAGTGTGGCAAGAGGGAAAATATTTCTTAACTCTTTTGGTGTGTAGCCAGACTCTGACAGGAGGGCACAGGTCAGAGGTGGCAACCAACCGTCTGGTATTTTCTTTTCCTAACTCCACCTTTGTCAGACCTAGATCCTGATGGACTGTCTGCCTAAGATGTGTGGCAAGACCAATTCACTTGAATGGCAGTTCATCCAGCGCAGGTCTTTTCATTCACTGCACCTGGTACTAGGTGTGGTTTGGAGGAGGTGTTTAATAAAAATTTATTGAATAAATGGATAAATTAGACATTAGGGTGAAAAGATGTTTGTTGAAAGAGAAAAGAAGGAAGGAAGGAAGGAAGGAAGGAAGGAAGGAAGGAAGGAAGGAAGGAAGGAAGGGTAAAATAGAAGAGAGAAATTATGGGATAATGACTGACTTGGTTTAGCAAATCTGATTATCTGAAGAAAACTCCCTTTTCAGATAGAAGAAGGCATATGAAGTTCCTACTACCGCTAGACCTTCTAAATGCTGATGACTGATTGGATTGGAAAATAATGATAACAGTAATGATGATGAATAATAAAAACAGAAACAGCAACATCTAATATTTATATGGCACTTGCACCATGTGGATTATCTTTTCTAATCCATTTGTAAAAGTTAATGAATGATAATAAAAGTATAATGGCACATTGCCACAGCATTAGGAAGCTTGATATAATATGGTATCAAGGACATTTAGTCAAAGGAATGTGATGTTGCAGACAGGTCCTAAAGGCAGCAGCCTAACCTGATTTCTCTAAATAAAAACTACGTGTATACATAGTACATGTACATGCTTGAGTGTGTGAATGCATACAAGTAAATGCATAAAGCCTGCTCAAAATTGTTTTGGTAATAACCTGGATTCAGGGAGTTGAGTTGCTAAGTAAAACTAAGTGTAATTTTTACCTTAATACTACATCTTTCTTATTCAGATCAGTTTTCTGGGTTGTTTCCAAAATCACAAATACAAAGTACATATGCATCTCCAGAAATTTCTCCTTTAGGAAAATGGCAGTATGCCATAAAAGGCGAAATACAGAGCATTAAAAAAAAAAAGCTAGCCCTGATTTTATAGATCTATTTTGTGATCCTTATTTTATCATGTCTGTTTGCTATTTTAACATTTTGGCTCTTGAAGGTACTTTATTTAAATCCAGTGAAAGCAAACTGGAATGAATGGATTGTAGCGTCCTTGAGTGTGTCCTCTGTGGAAAGGCCATGGACTTTGGAGGAAGACAGACTTGGATGGTTTGAATTCCATCTCTGCTAGTGATCACCCATGTGACCTTGGATAACTTCCTTAGCAATCAGGGTTCTCCTCTGCAAAGTAGAAAGAAATATAACTTTTGAGAAATGTTTTGAGGGTCAACTGAGATAATATATCTTTGCATGTATGTATAGATGTGTATGTAATTACACATACATGAGATATGAACATAATTCCTTCCCTGTAGCATGGTCTGTCTTACCCTCTCAGCGTCCTGCATAATATAGGCAGCCTGATAGCTGAACATCTCCAAAACTTGAGTCTCAGGGCAGCCCCTTCTTTCTCTTTAGACTGTTGTAGCTACATGTAGATTTTGTACACCAGCCTGCTCTCTACATTGCCATAAGCATTATCTTACACACACACACACACACACACACACACATACACACACACACACATGCACACACACACACAATTTACTCTACTTGCTTCTTAATTTTCTGCAGCCTACAGAACAAAGTGTAAGCTCCTTGTTGAAGGATGCAAAACTTCCTCATCTAGCTTCAGATCTGGGACTCCTTTCTTGCTGATCCTGAATTGTTTCTTCAACTTTGCCATGCTTTGTGTGTGTGTGTGTGTGTGTGTGCATGTGTGTGTGTGCATTTGTGTGTGTGTGTGTTGTCAGCCTAGAATGGCCTTCCTCTCTTTTCCACACAATGAATATCCACTATTTCTTCTTTCAAGGCAAAGCTCAAATATTAACTTTTCTATGAAACATCTCTGGATTGGGGCTGTAGTTCAGCAGCAGAGTGCTTGGCTAGCATGTATGAGGCACTGGGCTTGACCCTCAACACCACATAAAAATAAACAAATAAAATAAAAGTATGCTGTCCATCTACAACTATAAAAAAATTTTTTAAAAATATCTCTGGATTGCCTGAAAACCAAGTCAATCACACCCCTTTATGTCTTTCTGGCTCCCATAATTCTTTGTTTACATCTCTATCATAACAGCATTATGTGATAATTAAAATACAAATACACCAACAATGCCAATTTCTAGATGTGTGATCTTGGACAAATACTTAACTTGTATTGCTGTCTTTATTTGAAAAATGAAGGCAATATTAGTACATACCTGATGGAGTTGTTTTAAGTATTAAATGAGATAATCCACATAAAGCACATAGTATAGTACTTGGAACATGGTAACTGTAGAAAGTGTTCAGTAGTATCTCCGTTATAATAATCTCTTATAGGTCTTTGTTAATCTGTAAGATACTTCAGTTTTGCATCTGTACTATCTAGCCCAAAGCCCAGAACACAATAGGTATCTAATATGTTTGTTGAAAGGGAAGAAGGAAAGGCAAGCTACCTTTCATCTTCATTAGCAAAGAGAAAATGTTAAACTATGCAGTATTTATGAGGAAGGCTCATTAACTATCCTTTCTGTCACCCTTTAGTTAATACTTATAGAGCTTCAGTTTCACCAGCTATAAAATGTCAGTGACCCCCCAACCCCTGCCAATCTTATAAGATACAACATGCAAAAATTACAAGGCTTTAATGCCTCTAGATATTTCTTGGCTGTAGAAATTATACCAATACTGCTCTTCCCCAAAAAAAAGGGAAGAAAAATTATGTCTAATTTTAAGAATGCATATGAGCTGTGAATTTTTAAAAATCTGGTAAAACGGAGGTCAGATAAGTCATTCAGTAGCATTTCTAGAGTCCTCCAAATGCTGTATGTAATGTCAAAACTTTTGTTTTAATAAAATTCAGTTATCCAATTATCAATTCTTTTCTATTCTGAGTTAAATGTTACTGAAATGAGAGTTTTCTGCTTATACTTGAAATTCAAAACTCAATTATCAAAAACAAACATTGTATTTCATTGTAATGAACTATATCAACTTCCTTTTCTCCATCTATTTAAAAGTGAGCTTTGGCAGTTGATACCAAGAGTTTTAAGTATTAAGTCAGTTCATCCAACCTAGTTTATAATTTACCATCCTAATAGCTCTGCTGATTATTTCTTAAGCACTTTGAAAAAAAATTTAAAACTATTTTTTTCTGAAATTCATGCTATGCATTCTTCCAAGCCTTTTCCTACATAGTAAATTTTTATTTTGCCAAAGGAAGATAAAAATACCTATGCTGAGCCTTTGTTGAAGGTTTAAATGTGAAGGTTAAGTGAAAAATGTACATAAAAAATGTAATGTAGTGCTTAGTAGATGCCCATTAAATTTTATTTTGTTTCTCATTGGAATTTTGTTTATGACACCATGTTTTACTTAGGTTCATTTGTTTACATATGGATTTACTCCACTTATAATGCAAGCTCATCCAAGGCAGGGATTTGTGCCATGCTTGGTTTTGGATTCCTGGCACCCGGCACACTGCTTGACACATAATAGATATTTAATACATATTTATGGAAGGCAGGCAGACAGACATGTGGGGTAGGGGAAAAAAGAAAAGGAAAGGAGGAGAGAGAGAAGAAAGGAAAGTATTAAGTACTAGGAAAAGCTGAATATCATGGATAAAATCCCTATATCATTCAAGTTATTTTAATTATTTATGTTTTATCATAATAATTCTAAGAAATTATAGCATTACAAAACATATTTGAATACTACTTTATAGTTTTGAATGAAAACTGATCTATGCCCTTTTTGTTTTATGCATCTATATATGAACAAGCATTACTGAATGAAAATTGCTTGTCAAAAATGTAGCAAATGTGAGATGGGGCTGTGAGTTTGATGGCATGTGTCATTTATCTCTGCAAAATGTGAGGAGTGCCACCATGTTTCAGTTCTCTTCAATGCACTTAGAAAACTTTGCTGTCTGCAATCTACTTGTTCCGTGACCTAGTCAGAAAGATTTATCACAAGTAAAATGCATATGTTTGATGCCTTTTTAGTGACATGTTTGACACATAGTACAAAATGATACAATCTGTATACTGTAAAGGTACAGTGTATACAAATCAGAGATGTTGTGCTTTGGGGTTACATAATTCCCTGTTTGAAAATATTTCATCTGATATCAGGAAAAGAAGCAGCTGGTACTAAGATAGTTTCAGCCTTCTCAAGAACCCCTTCCTTAATGTGTGCTTTGGACCCTAACTTTCTTTTTCTTTTAGGCTTCTGGTTGTTATTCTTATTCTTTGCTCTTGGTTAACAATTGATGCATTCTGGTTTTGTGTGTGTGTGTGTGTGTGTGTGTGAAGTTTTAATCATAAAAATTTACATAATACAAAAAGAAGTATCATATTCCCTTTTGCTGTTCCCTATCTCATTTCTTTGTAATCCATCCATGTTCTGCTACATCCTTCCAAACCTTTTCCTGTATATTAAATTTAAAAATATATGTACACATTTCTAGATATAATCTCCAGCTATGTATATTATTTATCAACATGCTTTTCACTTACTGTCTTGTAGATCATTTCACATACATTGAGATGTCATTATGAAGAGCAAAAGCTTCTTGGGCTAGGGTTGTGGCTTAGCAGAAGAGCACTCGCGTAGCAT